CTCTCTGCGCCCCGCCACAATAAAAGCCCTCTCCTCTCTCTGCGCCCGTCACAATAAAAGCCCTCTCCTCTCTCTGCGCCCCGCCACAATAAAAGCCCTCTCCTCTCTCTGCGCCCCGCCACAATAAAAGCCCTCTCCTCTCTCTGCGCCCATCACAATAAAAGCCCTCTCCTCTCTCTGCGCCCGTCACAATAAAAGCCCCCTCCTCTCTCTGCTCCCCGCCACAATAAAATCCCCTTCCTCTCTCTCAGCAGCGCCCGCCACAATAAAAGCCCCCTCCTCTCTCTTAATTATAATGAATATTGTTCTAAGAAACACACACACACACACAAACACACACACACACTTGAAATCTCGCGCTAGTTGTGACTGAGCGCTTGCTGTGCTGTGATTGGCTGAGCCGGATGTAAACAACAGGGGGAAACAAGCGAAGCTACACGCTGGATGAAAACATGGAGATTTAACTCAGATTTAGGATCTTTTGACGGTGTTTTTCTGTGAAGCCAGGTGGAAAAGACTTACTGCAGGTAAACATGCGCTAAGAGAGAGGCTGGGGGTGGAAACGAGGATTTAAAACGTGCTTTGAGGAGCGTTAGCACAAGAGCTAGCCTGTTAGCTTATTATTATCACACATTTTAAACACGAATTAAGTATTTTTTCAAATATTAGCGGGTAATAAATGCTTATATAACGTGCTTATTACTTAATGATCTCTATTAACTATTACACAAGTAAATAGGCGAGTTTAAGTGAATGTACACATGTGGAAATATAAAAGAGAATAGGATAAATAATGATAGTTCATATAAGTAAATCATACTAAGAAAAACTTTTGAATGAACATTTTAGACCAATTTTAAAAATATAACGCACTCTATAATCCCCTATATTGATTTAATACTAATTAAGGCTTAAACATACTGACTGTATTTAGTGTCAGCCTTCATTTGAGAACACACTGTGTTTATGTAATAAAAAGGGCATAACCATTATCACTGGATTATTTATTTTTTTCCCATTCATTTAATTTGACTTCATTTATTTTCCCATATTTTCCGGACTATAAGTCGCGTTTTTTTGTACCTGTCTGGCTGGTGCTGCGACTTATATATTGTATTTCTTTGTGACTGTGTTCAAACTACTTCCAATAGACGACATCGTGACAACTGAAAACGTCTGTATCACCGAAGAAGAAAACAGTTTACACATAAGCTACACAGAAAACTGAGTCAGAACACAAACACAATGCCTCCAAAAAGAAGAAGCTACACTGCAGCTTTCAAACTGCAGGTGATCAAATATGCAGCGGAGAAGGGAAACCAACCAGCAAAGAGAGAGTTTGGAGTGAGTGAGAAACTGGTGAGGGACTGGTGCAAAGCGGAGGCAACGCTCATCTCAATGAAGAAAACAAAGCGGGCTAATCGCGGTCTGAAAGCTCGATGGCCCGAGCTGGAGCAACGAGTCCACACATGGGTCCTCGGACAGAAAGCTGCAGGGTTATCAACGGTGAAGTTACGTCTCCACGCTCAGCGGGTTGCCAAGGAGATGAAGATTATGGATTTTTCCGCTGGCCCCTCCTGGTGTTTCCGTTTCATGAAAAGAAACCACGTGTCGATCAGAGCCAAGATGAGTCAGGAAGTGACCGACTCCCAGGCCAAGATGGACAGTTTCCGAGCCTTCATTGAAAAGGAGGTCGCTGCACACGATGTGTCATCAGATCACATCCTTCACATGCAGGAAGTACCGCTCACTGTTTACATCCCCATGAGCCAGAAGAGCGTTGGGACTCATGAGAGGTGGATCTTCACGGTGGTGCTAGCATGCTGCGGAGACGGCTCCAAACTGCCACCAATGGTCATCTTCAAACAGAAGAGCATGCCGAAAGCACACTGCTCGTCCTCTATTGTTGTGACCGCGAATGAGAAAGGGTGCATGAACGAGGAGACGATGAGCCTGTGGCTGGCAGAGTGCTATTGTAAACGTCCTGAGGGCTTCTTTAAAACACACAAAGCCCTGCTTGTGATGGACAGCCAGCGAGGAGCACATATCAGCGAACGAAGCAAAGCCACGATCAAAGCCTGCAACTCCATAGCTGCCGTCATCCCCGCAGAACTCACCGAGTTCCTGCAGCCGCTCCACGCCTCAGTCAGCCGGAGCTTTACGGCTGTGTTTCGTCAGCTGTGGGACACGTGGATGGTGGATGGGGAGCACGTCACTTTCCAGGGTGTTGTGGGATGGGTCAACTCAGCGTGGGCTTCAGTGACGAGCCACTGCATCCTGAAGGGATTCAGAAAGGCCGCTCTGATCGGAGCGGATTCTGAGGGTGAGTCTTGTTGGGGGATGTGTTCCTATAGGCCCTTCCTTTGACCCCGTTTATCAGTCTGCACTGAGCACAGGCGGGACACCTTGTTCCTGCCCGATAGAGCTTCTAGAGCTTCATCTGCTCATTATCCGGGGTCTCTGGTAGAGACCTTCTCTGGTAGAGAGAGACCTTCTCTGGTAGAGACCTTCTCTGGTAGAGAGAGACCTTCTCCGGTAGAGACCTTCTCTGGTAGAGACCTTCTCTGGTAGAAGAGACCTTCTCTGGTAGAG